TGCAAAAGATTTCGACCACGGCAGGATTCGAAACTGCAATCTTCTGCTCCGTAGGCAGACGCGTTATCCATTGCGCCATGCGGCCACGCTTTAGTGCTGCGGTTACATGCAAAGGATTCACAGTGCTCCATCTCCCACTACCCACATTGTAGCTGGGAATATTGATATCCACTGACAACCATCTGCTGACCTTTACTTGCAAAAGATTTCGACATTTTTTCCTTGACTTTCTTCTTGGACTCGGAGCGAAGCCTGCCGAAAAACTCGTTATTGCATACATGCAATTACTAGTAAAATTCGAGATCTCTGAGAAGATTCCACAAAATTGTTCTATATCCAGGCATTAAAGCACAACTGTCCAAGCATGTAGCTTGCCTGCCAGTTTGTTTTTAGCCGACTAAAACAGCTTCAGTCCCAATCGTACCCTACTAAACGATTGCTTCAGTATAATGGCTTTATCGACTTCAGAGCGAAAGTGTAAAGGCAAACAAGAAAGAAATGAAAAGTTTCCCGTCTACGGCTTTTCCATTCGGTATACGGTCGAAGCTTGACGCATAAGATGAGAAGTTTTCTCTCCCATCAAATCTGTAATAGTGCAACATCATCTTCGCAACGGCACTAGAAGGCCAATTCCACCACTGAATGAGTATCATTCACTGGGTTTTTACGCCAAAAATGAAAATGGATGAGGTTGATCGACCAGTGGTAGAATGGAGCGGACTTAACCGCCGATCACCCTTTAACACCAACGATCTGCGTGGTTTGGATATCACTTCTGGCTTCACATAAGTTAGCTTCCCATCTTTACCATAATTCTTCGTGCCAACCAGAAGAGCCAACCAATGAGATGTAGGGGCGTGGCGTAAACCTCATCCAAACAGAGGAAGGGGGTGCGATGTCGAAGGTTCTCAGAAGTTTTGCTTGTTCTATTCTCTAATATTTCCTGAGAGCAGTTGCAGTTGCGAGCCTACATTTCCCCTATTGCCCTTAGCGCCTCAGTGACGTACTCCGATGCGAGAACGTGGCGGGTCGCCTGCAATTGCGTCCCATGCACTTGTAACCGCTTTAGGGGCTTATGAAATGGGTCTGAGCCTGAACTTCGCCTTTAGCAATGAGGGCACACGAAACTACGACGAACTCTAAAACTATGTCACACCAAAACGCTCACAAAGTCAGTGCATAAGTTGACTATGTCATGCTCGGCCGCGCTAGTCGACGTGCCAAAGAGGAAGTAGCGCTCGGAGTCCCATTTGGCCAACTGAAATGCAACCCCACACTCGATGAAGAATACGACAACAACATTAAGATTATGGTATTACTTTGGTTGCTGATTAAAAGAAGGATAAAGCATATGTCGTCGATCAAGCCCTTTTCAGGATGCGGCACGCGTTCTACTTCCATTTGTGAATTCGTATTGGCGTTTGGATGCGATGTGGTATATACCATGACCTCCGATGGCCAGGCGATGTACAGGTCAGTGTTTTTATCCTCCTAGTCAAGCCTGGTACCAACTGACCCCACGACGACAGGATGGAAGGCCTGGTTGGCCTGGACGACGCACGACCCAGGATTTGATCCCCGGACCGCTAGCGTAGTAGCCGTGCCACTTGCTACACACAACTGCCGCCTTTGGTTATTGATAATTAACACTTCCAAGTTGTGATCGGTGGTTTGTTCCTCCTCGAGCTCCAAACCATACAAACTGCCGGTCAAAAATGTTCGCCGACACTATTTCTCGTGCATTTGTTTTTCACATGTACCATTGGCTCCAAATCTTGGTTTTTTATGCTTTCAGTAGGTTCGAGCTTTTTTAACTGAAAACTCGAAGATTAAGATGAGAAAATCTTCACATAATCTTCAGATTATCTTCGAGACTTTTCTTGTAGGAAGAAATTTTAACGCACAAGCAACTGCTTTGGCGAACACTTTTTATCACTTCTGTACCATATCATAGTATATTAAGAGAGGAAGCAAATAACGTTACCCGGGTGCATTGACATACAAATGACGTCCGTTTATCGGATATGTCTCTCTATACGTCTTTTCAATTTCTTTCCTTGTGAGGAGAAGAGTGATCGCATCAACAACTGCTGAAATAATGCACTGCGTCAAATGAGAACACAGTCGACTCGGTCAACCCCAGCGGACTCCGATTTAAGCAAACCAGCCCTTTTGGCGTTCTGGCTGGGACCGTATGCTGAATGTTGGGGAGGGGATGGGGTCCCCGAGGTCGACGGAGTACTTGAATTCAGTCGATACAGTAGGAGAGTATTGACGCAAGTGGTGCAGCTGGTCCAGTAGCTTCGCCAGAAGGGCTGGTTTGCTCACCCCAGGACTAAGCCTGGGAGAGGGGACGGACCCGTCCTCTCTTGAAGGCTTAGTTCTAAGGTAAGCACCAAATTGTGGCGGCTCTAAGGACCTCGTTGAAGTGGTCCGTCCACCGTCGGGGACTCCATCCCCTCCCCAACATTCAGCATACGGTCCCAGCCGATGTGCTAAAAGGGCTGGTCTGCTTACGTGTCGAGCAGAGGGGGATGTCTAATGAAACGACGAATCCTTCAATCCACACATCTCATCCTCAATTTCGAAATTCACCAAAAATTTTCAGAGAAGGTCGCCAGAAACGACTCCTCTCCCGCAACCACGATCGCTTTCACAAGAAAAACTCTCAAACTCGACCACCCCCAGCGAATATGCAATTGCGACCCCTTCGTTGAGCTTTCGCAACGAACTGTTGATACTACGGAGATTCGGTACCCTAGCCTCTGTTTTCAACACGTTGGCTGCCACGCCCGCTCTCACTGTCTGGTGGGCGGGACGCCGCGTTTTTCTGGGACGGTAGCAGGGTGAAAATCGTGTCGAGGAAATCTCAACTGTGATATGACCCCTCCCTAAAACGGGGAGTCTCGGTACGACCCCCTCCGTAAAACGGGGTCTCGATATGACACCCCTCGTAAACACATGCTAACTACGGTTTACACAAAGATCCGGAAATAAACATTATACTATTGTAACAACACAGACTCTACGCGTATACCAACGAAACGAAAAGAAAGATTGACAGCAATAAGTGAAAAAAATGATAAATAGCACGTAGCAATGGAAGAGCACCCGAATTTAAAGGGGCAGCTGTCCTTCCGGGGAAGCGGCGCGGCTAACGCGGTGGAGCGACTTATCATGAAAATTTGCCTTCCCCTTATGTTTAAAACCTTAATAACTTTCTCAAAACTTAATCTTTTGAAGAGCTGTGGGTGTGCTTCGAAAGAGCTTTGATTTCACTTTCTAATTATCTTTCAAGATGCTCTGAAGATGCCCTATCCAGTAAGATTTTCCACGTCGAGTAAACGTCGAGGAACTCGAAAATTCCAGGCTGATTTTTGCTGTTTTCAAGACAATAACTATCTTATTTTTTACCTGATTGGAACATTGTGGATTATTTTGGAAAGTGGAGGATTTGTTCTTTCAAATGGCTACCTGACCTGTTTCGAAAACTCCTACTTAAACAGAAATCTGCGTCGAGGAAAAGTCGAGGAAATTTTTTCTTCACTCAAAAACCGGGTTCCCTTCCACATTAATGCTAGGAGATTCATTAGAACCTCTCAAAATGCCCTGGGTACGCATCTATTTGCTGTCGCTGATACAATTAGAGATACTCAGCGCTATTGGGTTTCGGTCTAGCATACGCCATGCCATCGGTCCTTGCTCGAAATTTTAAGTTAGTTGAAAGTTGCGTGATGAGTTGCTAATAAAACCCCAAGTGTTCTCAGGGTGATCAGGTGAGAAGACGCTCCATTCTACTTCTCCCAAAAGTGACACTTCTCCCGATACTGATACCGACAATTACGACCCCCCGTCGACGAACTCCTCGACCGATATTCACCCTGGACGGTAGTAAAAAGGCCTCAACTGCTGGTTCCCACGTGACCGTGAGGTCGTGGCAAGATGGGAAGCTAACTTATGTGAAGCCAGAAGTGATATCCAAACCACGCAGATCGTTAGTGTTAAAGGGTGATTAGCGGTTAGGTCCGCTCCATTCTACCACTGGTCGATCAACCTCATCCATTTTCATTTTTGGCGTAAAAATCCAGTGAATGATACTCATTCAGTGGTGGAATGGGCCTTCTAGTGCCGTTGCGAAGATGATGTTGCACTATTACAGATTTGATGGGAGAGAAAACTTCTCATCTTATGCGTCAAGCTTCGACCGTATACCGAATGGAAAGCCGTAGACGGGAAACTTTTCATTTCTTTCTTGTTTGCCTTTACACTTTTGCTCTGAAATCGATAAAGCCATTATACTGAAGCAATCGTTTAGTAGGGTACGATTGGGACTGAAGCTGTTTTATTCGGCTAAAAACAAACTGGCAGGCAAGCTACATGCTTGGACAGTTGTGCTTTAATGCCTGGATATAGAACAATTTTGTGGAATCTTCTCAGAGATCTCGAATTTTACTAGTAATTGCATGTATGCAATAACGAGTTTTTCGGCAGGCTTCGCTTCGACTCCAAGAAGAAAGTCAAGGAAAAAATGTCGAAATCTTTTGCAAGTAAAGGTCAGCAGATGGTTGTCAGTGGATATCAATATTCCCAGCTACAATGTGGGTAGTGGGAGATGGAGCACTATGAATCCTTTGCATGTGGCGCTATGCGCATCACTAAAGCGTGGCCGCGTGGCGCAATGGATAACGCGTCTGCCTACGGAGCATCTTTTGCAAGTAAAGGTCAGCAGATGGTTGTCAGTGGATATCAATATTCCCAGCTACAATGTGGGTAGTGGGAGATGGAGCACTATGAATCCTTTGCATGTGGCGCTATGCGCATCACTAAAGCGTGGCCGCGTGGCGCAATGGATAACGCGTCTGCCTACGGAGCATCTTTTGCAAGTAAAGGTCAGCACATGGTTGTCAGTGGATATCAATATTCCCAGCTACAATTTGGGTAGTGGGAGATGGAGCACTATGAATCCTTTGCATGTGGCGCTATGCGCATCACTAAAGCGTGGCCGCGTGGCGCAATGGATAACGCGTCTGCCTACGGAAGCAGAGATTGCAGGTTTCGAATCCTGCCGTCGGTCGACAATCTTTTTGGCACAGTAATATGGGCAGCAGAAATGGTGTGTCAGTGGGATATCAAATTGAGGTGCCCATCTAGGCGAATTTGGGAGTTCTGTAGGATGGAGCACAGGTATGACCCAATGGCACTCACGGAAGTTCGTTTCCGTTGTCATGGGGACGTTTGTCGGTCAAGGTGGACGAGCAAAAAAATCATGAAAGCAAAGGCTCTCCCTCAGATATCAAAGAATTCTGATCTTTCTCAGAGGCAAAGCATGTGTCTACGCAAAAGCTGGCGTAGATGCCAGTCTTACAATTGCAATGTTGTCGGCAGAAATTTAGAAAAATCGTACGTCCAGGTATCCACAGCACTGTATCATAGAGAGGCGGAGAATTGATGGCACTGCTTACCAACATGCCTCGCGGAGCAGAACTGAGTGTATCTTGTTAAAGCGGGAAGGCAGAAGTCACAGCGAATGTGGTGAGTCCAATTCGAGACTTCAACTTACTAACATGCACAACGCAAAGGTCAACCTGAACGAGAATACGTTCCCACTTGCGGCAGCCCAAACTGTGTCACAGCAGTGCCAGTGTCTTGTCAGGTGGATCCACGAATACATCACTTATCAAGGGATCTTTCAATTCTCTAGATGAAGACTCTGCTTAAGGAAGAAGCGTCACACAAAACAGAGTTGGCGCAAATAAGGAAAGTCTACCAGGTCGTCAAACATTGATCATCAAAAATTCAACTTCATTCAAGCAAATTCCACAATGGTTCTCCTCATTCAGTATGGCTTAATCAATTTCAGATCGTTTTTTGGGTTCTCTTTTTTTATGGTCTGGACTGCCAAATGCCAATTGCCAAGAACGCACTGCCTCAAATCCTTCTGCTTCAGGTACTCTCCAGAACAAAAAGGCTCGTCTACATTCTCCTCGCGCGGGAGTTCCTGGTAACTTCTACAGATCGCCAAGCGACTGGACGGCTATCTACGAGATAAAAATTGCATGTTACTGTTAGCGTTCATCATTTGCATATAAGCACTTATTATTGCTTTGCGTGTGATTCAGGAACTGTTCATGATTATTTTACATATTGATTAGGAGTCATGATCTTTCTAAACATCGCAAATTCTGAGGAGAAAGGTAGCGTAAGGAATGGAAGTCAGAAGAGAGAATTCTGTTGATTGGGACGGCTGTGTATTATAAGTTTGCGTCAGATCAATTCGTTTTTTTGTCTTTCAATAACCTATGGAAGCCTTCTTCTCCGTTTTCCCTCTTTTTCTTTCTTCTTCTCCCTCGTGCTGGGGCGTTCTAAGTCGGCGCGGCAGTTGCAGGGTCCGATGTCTTTGTTAGCGTCGTTGCCACTTGCTCGTCAGGCGTCTCTGCGAGCGACTGATTACTCAGATCACGTCTTTGGCTGAAGGCGTTCCCCCTCTTTTCGAGGGCTCCGCCGGCGGGTCGTTTGCTTGGCGCTTCGAAGGTCCATAGCTTTCTTTATTCGGATGATCTGTGGCCTTCACTCGCACGTGCCCATACCATCGAAGCCTGCTAGTTCTCGCATCTTCAGGCTGGACAGGAGCAGTTCTGCTATGACCGCGCCTGACATCCTTCGTTATTGACCCTGTCTCAAAGCCGCGCCAGCCGACGAAAACCACCTCAGCATTCCTCTCTCGAGCGGAGTGAAGCTTTCCTTTCGTGCGGTCTTTGTTCAGGGCCAGCACTTTGCTGCCGAATGTATTAGGCATCAGCGAGGCCTGATTCTATTCGAGTATCACTTTCCTTTCGAGCGGTTGGAGCATCTTTCTGATCGCATGAGGATTCGAGTGGAGGGGCATTCCTCATTTTCATCCAAGTGCAGCGTTGTATTCGATGCCTTCACTGGCGAAATCACGCCAGCCGCGTGCTGGGCCAGATTCGCTCACAAGGGTAGCTGGTGAAGTCTTTTCACTTCGGATGGTCGTCACGATAGAATCTCTGCCACCCTTTCAGGAGGTCATGGAACTTGGTCTTCATGACGTTTCAGGCCGAGAGCCCACCTCTGCAGGGCTTTCTGCCATTTTGCACTCTTCATTTCTTCGCTCTCTGTTTGTCCGCTCAGCGGATGTGCGTCCGCGGAGAGGATGGTCTTCAGGTGGTCTCTATAAGCTTCCTTCGCAGGACATCCAGTGCCAGGAGGAAGAGAGAACTGGGTCTCAGGGCTGACCCCGGGGCTGCACACCAACGTGGCATGTTTATCTCTTTGTTAAATAACGAAGCCTGTAGGTAGGCGAAGTCCTCGGTGTTTCGTGTCTTTGCCCAGCCGCTTGTATGCTTCCTCTTTCTGCTCACGATCGCCTAAACCTCCTTGTTGCAGAACCACGCTGCTTATCTCTCTAGAATCCACTTCGCGTCTCGCCAGGACCTCGGGTTGGCCACATCGCAGGATAGTACCAGCCGCGCTGCTCCAAGTCCGCTGTAATGGCCCGTTAGGATCTGGGAGACCGACTTCCATTATCTTTTTCCTGAGTTCACCCTCCTCAGCTTGGTGCAGCTTCTTACCAGCACATGGTCGATTTCCGCTTGTTTTCCCCCACTGCTGTAGGTTACCTTCTGAGATCCCCTTTTCGCAAAGAACGTGCTGCATATTGCCAAGTCGTGGGCTGTAGCCAGGTCCAGAACCCTCTCTCGTTCGTCGTTCCTATCCCTCTACCTCCGTGCACCCTTTCTAGGCCTTTTCTATCATTGCCGACATGACCATTCAGGTCACCTGCTATGGTCAGGTAATCTTCTTCTGCAATCGATCTGATGGCATCGTCAAGGCTCAGGTAGAACTCGCCCCACTCTCGGGGCAGCCGGTGCGTACACTGACAGTATCGTCCAGTACCCCTCCTTCGTGCCTATCCTCACAGCCATTATCCAATCGCTGATCCTGTTCACAGCGGAGACATAGTACTTGAGCGACTCCGCTACCGCTATGGCCACGCCGTTCCGCTTGGTGTCCTCTCCAATGTAGTAGAGCTTGACACCTTCCCCGATTTCCCTGGCCCTAGCACCTTTCCGTCCGTCCACTATCAAACAGCACTAGTATCCTACATGTGCCTGTGAAGGTGGCATTGGTAATGATTACAGCAACGCTCTCGGTTCTTGACGGCTTAATTGCTGATACAACAAAATTGCCTCCCCGTTGATGGTGATATGGTTCATTGTTGCGGTTGTATAACATATGCGTGCAGCTGGAGCCGTGTCCAGCAGTACTCGGCCAGAGATGGATCGCCAAAATTCCTCTGGTTCTTCCGAGCGTTGGGAGCCTTTTCCTGGCTGGGAACTGCTGCACACGGCAGGGTTTTTTATCACTGAACTACCCGAAATAACACTATGTTGGGTTATAACGGATCTTGTCGTTAACAGTCGCTATTATCCTTTGCCGGTTCAAGTCGGTGTTTGCTTCCTTCCCACCGAAACTTCTCCGGAAGCCGTGTTCATGCATGACTAACTGAATTGTTGGGACCACAGTAATCCTTCGAAGTGTTATCTTGGTCCCAACAAATTTCCGATTACCTGGTCGTTTGTATCGTAGTTTTCAATTCTCAATTTTTTTCAAATTCCACGGCATTATCCGACCTATATTCCCAACAGCTCACTGATTAACTGATATGGGTAAGTCACATAAGTGAAGAATTCCCAAAAAACTAGAATTTCTCGGGAATTCTTCTAAGAGTTGCTCTCCTGACTAATACAAGTAATCCGATGACTAGGTTGAAGGTGAAGTTTGCGACTGGAAGGCACCCATTAGAACTGAGGTCGAGATGGTCAGTGGTGCCGGCTCGTAGAAAAAAAACCATATGAAACGGCTCAGAACCTGAGAAGTGGGTTCATTTTTTGCCAGTCGGTTTCCGCATTGATGCAACTTTCATCGATGCTGCTCTCCTCAACGCAAAAGCTCTCTCTGCAAAATGGCAAGAGAACGGCGGCGTGTGGTTAGCTAGTCTGTGGGCATGCCGCCGCAATAATGACGCGGAGACGCCATGCTAGATTGCCGGGCATATTTTCGCCGGTCGGTCTGCGCTCCTAGGAACTCGCTTGTCTTCCCACAATGTACGTTTTCCTTTCCGACTTTCGACCTTATCGTGAAATCCTCTTTTGAGCAGGCGTCGCCACTAGCTGCGCCAAGCCAAGAAGAAGCGCAATAGAAGTAAGAACAATAGGAATAATATTTTCTCTCTGGTTCTCGCTCTAGCTCATGTAGTGGTGCTTGGAGAAGTAGTGGAATGCTTCTGCCCCGTTCGTCTGTCCCAGAGAATGCTCCTTTTCCTAGTTTTGCTGAACCTGATTGTACTTCACCTGAGTATCACCTCTATGGAAGCTGGTGGTCGCGTGATGGAGCTGTGTTGTGGTCTGATGAGCTAGGCAGTGGTGAGCACCACCACTGCCTAGTGGTGCAGCGTGAGTTACCAACGATTGCCACTGATGGCGACTTCAGGCTCCTTCCTGTCAGTCATATCTCAGATACTGTTCCGCTACTGCTTTTCATACTCTTTTTGGGGCTTCTTCTACCACCCGAGCGCGTATACCTGATTGCCGTATCAACTGTATTGTAATGCAGGCGTGAATCAAATACTCAAAAAATCAAGGTTCAGCAAAAGTATTGATTTGGTTGAGAAGTTAATCCCAGTACTACTTTGGATTTCTGACCAAGATGAGCACGGAAAGTATGTCCGTTCAGCACACCCTGGTGACGGCGCCAGAGGAGCTCGACAAACTCGCCCGTCAAATCCTAGAAACCTCTAACTGGGGTAATTCAGTCGACAACGGTCACCGCAATCGGCAAATTTTGATAGTAATCGCGTTTTGTGAAGTAAACATAGTGAGGGTCGGTAGACTCACGGAGGATCGAACTCACGAGCGTCTTCAGTGCAGATGTCAAACGTTTTCGTGTCGACCATCTTCCCTCCAGACCGAGTTCTGTAAAAAATGTGGCTAAAATATTGTAAAATGAGGCAACATACAGTAAGCCTTTGTTGTCACCGTTGCTAGCCTCATTTTGG